AATTCAATACTTCTGGATCACCAGTTTGCTTACCGGCATAAAAGGTCTACTGAGCTACAGCTATTTCTTTTTGTCAAGTCTTTGAACGATTTCAACGCAAGTGGCATTGCTGTAGATGCAGTATTCTTGGACTGCTCAAAAGCTTTTGATAAGCTTTCCCACGAATCCATAATAAACGCGCTGATCGAAATGAATCTTCCCAGTCACATCGTACATTTGGTCTCTGATTACTTGAAAGATCAAACACAATGTGTGACAGTTGGACATGACTTTGCTCATTCGTTACCCGTTAGCAGTGGTGTACCGCAGGGTTCAGTTTTAGGGCCACTACTGTTCATTTGTGTCTTAAATTTCATTCTCCGCGCATTAAAAAACGGTAGCGCCGCTCTCGTTTTTGCAGATGACGTAGTTATTTTTCGCCCCATTACTGAAACAGGTGACAGTCAGCTGTTGCAGGAAGATCTTACTTCTCTCAACGAATGGCTTGCTAGCAAAAAGCTCAGTCTAAACGCTGCTAAGTCTGCCCACGTTCACTTCTCAAAACAGAAATCCTCGGTCTGCCCATATTATTATAGTATCGATAATGTTACGATTCCGAATTGTGATCATGTCAAACACTTGGGCATATTCGTTGACCGAAAACTAAATTTTAAATTAAATAGTGAAAATGTAGCAAAAAAATGCAACCGAAAAACTAGCTACATTAATCACATTTTCCGTTATACTGATTGCGGTGCTCGCATACGACTTTTTGAGTCTCTTGTCCTCTCGGTCATCGATTACTGTTGCTCCATCACGCACCCGTTACTCAAAAAGTCCGCTGATCTCTTAGAACGTTGCCAGAGAAGATTCACTAAATCCTTGCGACTCGGCAACAATGTTCTAAAATATGGTGCACGGCTAAAAGAGCTTAAATGGGATGATTTAATTACTCGCCGTTTAAAAAAAGCGCTGTTGTTTTTGTATAAATTGGTCTTTCGGGTGATTCCTATGGGTGATCAAATCGTAACTCCTCTTACGTTTTCGGTCTCTGCGTTTGAGTCTGTTGCAGGAAACACAAGATCATGCGAGCGTCTATTGAAACATCCATGTCCTATAAAACCTGCCGCGACGACCTTTTGTGGGATAACAGTGACTACTGACCACCTGTCCTATATAAACACCCTCGCCTCCATCTGGAACGAGCTTCCTTTGCAGCCAATAGCCTATGTCACATTAAAAGCCTTTTCGGAAGCCCTGGAAACCGTGAAGTTGAATGTGCTGCCGTCGGTTGAAATCTTAAAAGCCAGTTTTTACTCTAAATAAATGCTTAACTGCGCTTTTTTCTTTGCTATCTTTGTAGGTAATGGGTACTTTTTTGAGTGTGTACTGTTACGAATAAACGGCTGCGACTAGTTGAAATAGTACAGTACAGAAAGGCGATTACGTGCGTAAGTGTCCTTGCTTTCCTTTTTCCCACGATTTCTTTTGGAAATACTTTTTGAAAATTTCAATTAATTTTAGCTGTACGTGGGTTTTGGTTTTATGCATCGACCCCAGCGCGATCGTCTCCCTCCCTTTTTTCCACAGTAATATAGCGTCAACTTATCGCAACCGAAAAAAAAATAATGTTTATTTCCATCTCTATGTCTCTGAATGTTACTGCATCTGATCAGTAGTATCCGTTTGGTTGATGTTTTTGTGTTTTGCTGAAGAATGCTTTGTGTTTTGTTTTGCGATCTTCATTGTTGTACTCCAATGTCGTTTCACGACTGTTTGTCTGTAGCCTAGAGGGGGCTAATGCTCCGTGCAAAGGACAATAAACTTCCATTATTATATTATTGAAGGCATTTGAATTATACCCTCCGATGCGATCCAGACAGTCTATTTGAGCGTCCGCCTTACGAAACCGGTAAACAAAATCTAGAGAAGTAGCAAAGAAACTGGGAATTCAAATACCTCTTTGAGGACCTTTTGCCTTTGCTGCATACTTGCAACTTTGGTCTTCCGTAATAGCTTAATGGATAGTGGTTACTGTTTAGCTGCTATTCGCGACTGGCGAGGACGGCAGTCAACAGTCAACGAGTATCCACAGCAGTTGTCCAGCCAGACGCTGTGCATGGATGCCGAACACCGGGCAGGAAGAAACGTCAAGGCAATCAAGCATTACGATGTCCATAACATTTATGCAGTACTGGCAGCGAAAGCGCTGTACAGGTACCGGAAATTAACCCAACCTCAAGCGGATTACGTAATTCCAGAAATATTAGTAAATGAGCAAGTCTACCTTAAGTTTTTCCCTTAAAGAGCAAGCCGACAAATTTCACCGAATCGGACGCTGATCATGGCGAATGCGGCATTTCCCGGTATACAGCAGTATGCTGGCCGATGGCTGGGTGACACGGCATCCGAAAAGCGAGATTTCCGCTACTCCTTCCAGTGGATGTTAGTACAGAGTTTGTTTGGAAATAGTGTGGTAAGTCTCCAGTGCTCGAAATGAATGCCAAGAAATTTCACGGATCTGGGAATTACATCGGCCATTTTTGTTTTTGGTACGTTAGGTCGGGGCCGATATTTGTGGGCATTGGGGTCCAGGAGAACTGGAAGACATTAAACGTAAAACGGGCTATGCCATCGATGGATGATAGCCGGTGCATTCTATCCTCTGATGCGCGTCCATTCCTCTCGCACCAACGATTATCACGATCCGGCTAGCGTTTTTGCCGGGAAGGCACCGGAATTAATGGAGGAAGTCAGGAGAATCTTGAACGTCCGCTACCGAGTGCTGCCGTATCTGTACACGCTCTTCCATATTGCACACACGCGTGGCAACTCCGTTATACGGCCGCTTCACCATGTGTTAGCGTAGAAATACATTAATGCAATTCAAATGTTATGGTTTTTCGTTCTTTTTAGGTACAGTTGGGATGCCGTTAAGCACATTATCAGAAGCACACAAATTCAGTCCTTTTGGGGTGATGCACTGATGCTTACGCCGGTGATGGATGTGCAGAAAGACGTCGTCATGCCGGCTAGCGTAGAAATTGCGTTTCCTCGGGATATATTCTACGACTTCTTTACCGGTGTACGTGCGAGCGCATGAAACCCTCATGTTTCTGCGTTAATGGGTGTGGCCCACGTGTAACGTGTATGGGTGTGGCCCACTAGATTGTCAAGTATGATTGGCTCTGTTAGCGTTTCATGTTCATTCATGCGTTCAGCTTGACGCTGCGTGAGCAGCGGTCCGATGCATGCATGCGGCTTCGCCGCTTCTAGTCTAATAAGTTCTCTGCTTGGGCCTCTTCTCATCTTGGAATAAAGGATCTTTGTTCCCGAGATCTAGGCTCTGGGCAGTTTCACCATTATTTTAGGGTCACATTCAGGATCGTTTGTGACAATATTGATAAACGACGCTTATTTTCAGGAAGGTATCAACAGAGAACGTTCGACATCCGCGGAACCAGAGACGTACAGGCTGACAGATGTATCCATTGGTCTGCACGGACGAGCCGGCCGTATTATTGTCACTCAGACTAAGAAAGGTCACGAGAATACTAATGGCAGGTATGCAATGAGCACTCATTTTCTTTCGTTCACATCAGCAAATAGCGCTGTTTATTTAGTCGAAGAAACATAGTCTTTCCGAAAGTTGATGCGACATCGTACGGAGAGTTTTACTGGGATGATGGTGAATCAGCGAGTACGTGCGAATTAGAAATCTGCTGCAATTAATGCCGAGCAGCCACAAAAGCCGCAAAAAATTTTCTGTAAAAATGCCTTAAAGGTGTTTCTGTATTTTTAGAAAATGCAAACTATTTCACGGCGGCTTTATCGTATACAGGAGAAAGTTCGCGGTCATGTTCACTCTTGCCCAATGGTTACACTGTAAGAAAAACTGAAAAATTTATTTATTTTGCGGTGTTTCTATAGCATCTACCAAAATTCGGTCACTCCACCCATGTACCTTTTAAGAACAAAACAAAACGTGGTACCACTTGTCTTTGCAGAATACGTTCATTTTTGAGATTACGCACAGTAACTACACCGAGATGAGTCGGTACTTCATCGAAAACATTCAGATCTACGGCATGATGGCGCGCGGCACACAGCAGGTGTTCACCGATTTGGACGGCGTTGGTACCGCGAATTTCACCTTTACTAACGATGTAAGTTGCTCGAAATGGGCTTTCTCCTAGCCGCACTGTGATGTCACACATGTCTGGTGTATGGTCAATTACAAATTATTTTTCGTGAGTCACTCAGGATTAACACTTTCCGTACAGGCTCCGTACTCGAAGGGAAAGATTATGTCAATCCGGGGTCACCTGCCGATGACGAAAAATTTCACGCTGATCTTTAAAAACGATCACTGTGTGACGCCGCCGCCGATCGATTTTAGTCGAGCGCCATTGCACGTGGCGTCCGCTGTGTTTTGTGTTAGTCTGGTTTTCTGGCGTTTTCTTACGTTAGTTTGGCCTAGGTACTGTTTGTTACAGTAATGTAGTATGCTATTAATTTTATGGTTAGGTTACATAATTCGCATTACATAAGTCAGATTTGTCTGAGTTTCTGCATCACGACTTACCTGGCATCTTCATGCAGCCGGTCATGTGTTTTCGCTTGTATCCCCACTGTCCTTCCTGTACGTCTGGTTGTCCGTATCAACAATGCTGAATAGCGCGTATCGGTCATGGTACGAATAATCGATCTTACTGTAGTGTTCTGACTTCCGACGGATGTTGACAATTTGTTTCAGATGCAGGCTGGTCGGTTTACTGCTGTCTCGCTAGTGGTCTTTTACGTACTTTTTAACCCTAATCTACGTCATGGTAATTGTTTATGATTTATGGTAATGTGAATTGTGAAGCATGATTATAGGTAGTACGAGTACATGGGGTTATATCAATATTTTTAACATGTCTTTTACGTAATGAGTGTACGTATCTGTACGTACTGTGTATATTTTCGGTTTTCGCTCCATCTAGCGACAGCCCCATTAACGAGTCTCAATCACGCTTTAATTCATTGATAAGTTTATCATTTTCACTTGATAGCACAAACATCTTTACCAGCACCGGTTGCTGCACTCGGACCAGGCGCCCGGCTAATCACGTTCGATGCAGGTCAAATTTCAGTACCCGAATAAAGGTTTTCTTGAACTGCTGATTGGCCAGCGCGTAACAGAAAGGATTAATCGGACTATTCAGATAGCACAACCAGTAGCTTAACGCGTAGAAATCCGGATTCACACACCCGTTACAGAATCCCTCGATGGTCGCACAGATATGCCACGGTGTCCAGCACAGTACAAAGGCCCCCATAATAAACGTAATGGTCTTCAGGGCCTTCCGCGCCCGGTTCTCCGATTTGGACTGCTGGCGTTTGGCCAGGCTCTTCTTCTTGCTGTTCCGCAGCGCCACCTGCCGGATCCGTCGGCCCAGCTGCCGGATCCGCTCGGAATTGTTCCGGACGTCCAGCGCCCCGATATGGTTGGGGCCGCCGGTCAACGCCTGGTCGGACTGGTTCATGGAGCGCTGATCGGAGTCGTAGCGCGTCGACTCCTCCCCGATGTCGCTGATCTCCGGGCGAACCGACACCCGCGGTGCGGGACGCGCCAGTTTCAGGACTCCGCCGTTACTGTTCACCGGGATCGCCGGGACCGGCTCGATGATGGTGACGCAGGGGATCGGGGAGGGCGTGGCCAACGGGGACTTGAAGGAGGAGCGCGGCGTGGTCTGCCGCGGTGGCGTTGACTCGCGGGTGACCAGCGGGGAGTTGATGGAGGAGCGGTTGGTGGGGGTGGAGGTGTGCGTGCCCTCCATGGAGGAGTTGGGCGACTTGAGGGACTCCTGATCAATATACCGCCAGTCATTGGTGTTGTTCAGCGGCGTCCGGCCGGTGAACGGCTGCAGTAGGACGCTGGGCAGTTCGTCAAACCGCACCGGGAACGGGACCCGCGGCACCCACACCGGCTCGGCGAACCCCTCGGGTTCCTCGGCCGTTGACAGTACGGCGATGGAGGCGGACGGACCGCGGCTGTCCGCGGCCCGTTGAGCAAAGAGAAGGCGGATCTCGTCGTTGAGCTCCTTGGCCAGGAGGATGGCCTGCAGGGTGCTGGTGTTGATAGCCGGCTGCGACAGACTGGGAATGGTCAGGGTGTCGCGGGCGGGTCTCTCGTCCACGGCCGAGCACGACCGCGACATGGGACTGCTGGCCAGCAGCCTTTGGTCCACCTCCGGCGTCAAATCAATGAGGGCGGGCTTCCGCTCCGGCTCGGCGGAGTGGCGCTGCTGCGGCGGCGGCTGCCGGGTGTGGGCCTGTTTTGGCGGGGCGGGGATCTTCGGGACGATCATCTCCGTTTTCCCTCGCGGACGCTGCTGGCGCTGAGCAACACGCTGCTTGAGATCCTTGAAGACGTGATGATGCGGACGGGCCGTGGTCCCGCCCTTGGGCGGCGGTTTCTTATGGCTGGCCGCCGCCGCATCCGGGTCCTTGGGGACCAGGACCCCGTTCTCGTTCTGCTCGGCGTCCGACGGGAAGGTCGGACTACTGGAGCGGTCCTCCTGGTCGCTGCTGCCGCTGGTGTCGTTGGGTTTCTGCGGGGTCGTCGCTTCTACCGACGTGTCCACCGTCTTCCCCTGCGTCACCGTCGTCGAGTTGAAAACCACGCTGACGTCGTTGAGGATGGCCGGTTTGACGTGGACCGCCAGACTCTGCTTGGTGGTCTCCACGACCTTGTTCCCGGTGGTGGTCGTGCTGAGCTTGACCATCTGCTGCATTTTCTGGTGTTTCTGCTGGGACTTCCGCTGGAGAGTAAAGGCGGTCTGGTAGATCCCGGCATACAGTCCCAGGAGCACCACCATCGTCGACCAAAAGTAGCTGAAGATGAGGACGACGTTGAACGTCGGATTGGACTTGATGTACTGCGCGTCGCACCCGCCGTCCGCCATCCCGCGGCGTCCCATGAAGGTGTCCCAGCCCAGATGGATGGTGAAGAAGATCCCGGACGGGATGATCCACGTCGCGATGATCATTATCTGCACCTTGCGCTTGGCGCGCCAGTTGCGGTATTTCGCCGGGATCTTTACCGAGCAGAACCGGTCAATGGTGATCAGGAGGACGTTGTACTGACTGACCAGGCACACGGTATAATCCAGCGACAACCACAGATCACACAGGATATTCGGCATCGGCCAGCGTTCCAACAGGAGATACGTCGAATACGCCGGCATGGAGAAAAGCCCGATCAGGAGGTCCGTGACGGCCAGTGAGGCGATGAAATAGTTACTGGGCTGCCGCAGCGCCCGCTCCACCACGAAGGACGTCAGCACCAGGATGTTGCCCAGCACGGTGACGATGGCCGTGATGGCGGTGATGGTGGCGATGAGGATGACCTCCCAGGCGGCGTACTTGGAGGGCTTGGTCAGGCTCCGTGGGGGCGTGGCGTTCCCCAGGGTGGTGTTGTCCAGGAAGGGGCCGAAGGTGGCGTTGGGGTACAGCTCCTGGGCCAGGGCTATCACAGGGGGCAGATTGAGGGGCGTGGTCAGCGGGAGGGAGGGGAAGGGCTCCAGGAGGCTGGAGAAGAGTGTGGCGTTCATCGTGGTACGCGACGACGACGGCGGACAGGATCCCGGGCGGTCAATCACAGTGCAGCGTCAGCCCTGCAACGATCGCAATCTTCTTCAGCAAGTCAGGTTGCAAAATATCGCCACTGGTATAATTTACGACACCCCGTCTTAATGCTTCATTATTATTATAATGCTGTTTGTTATTATCATTGCAACTACAGTAGCCAAAATCCATTAAAAGGAGACTTTAACAGGCTCTTTTGTTAGATTTTGAAAAATTTTATACTTTTTTGGGTTTGATTTTATGCAATATCATTTATCTGAAAAATTTATTTGATGCATCACTGGTGAAGCCAAAACGGTGCATATAAAAGCAAGTAAAATGCCTGTGCAATGTACCATAATCATATAAATGCGCCCCATTAAATTTTAAGGTTAATCGAATTAATGATTAAACACCAGAAAGGATAATATTGATTTGCGGATTCCATTACGGATTAACGATTTCTGATACACCTCCGCAAATACTGATGGTACTGTACACTGTACAGAGTACAGTTACCGAAAAAGTCAGCCGAACGTAATTGCCGAACTGCGTCACTGCAATGGCAGATTTGCGCAACGCTGTATTATTTTTCCCATTAATTTAGTAATGAAAAGTGGGCTGCATGCCGGTCACGAGTGGCCAACCAGAATAGCTTTCGGGTAAAAACTTTTACGCTCCCAAATTCGCAAGACGTCACCACACATTACAGCGACAATCAGGCAATAACAATCCGGCAGCAATAATCATTATTCGGTAATAATATTGAAAGCAGCATTTTAATCACGGAAAAACGTGGAAAACCAGGCAACTTCCCTGGTTTATTTTCTAAGTTTTACATGGCATGTATATACAGTATCAGTGTCGATTGTTGATGTACCTGTGGCATTGACGTAGTTGCCACAAAAGACGCAACAATAGCCATTCATCGTAATGCAAACATATCGACCGGGCGAATCACGATAGCGGAAAAACGCAGACCAATGCAACGCCGCACGCGGTGTCTGCTAATCATAAGTTGATTAATTAGAAACCTGACACAGTCGTGATTGCCGAAAAAATCCCCGCATTGCCGCTAAGACACAACCGTCAACCGCACCGTAAAAACCGTTGGCAGCAAAGCCGTATAGGAACGCAGCGGTATCGGCTGTTGTCAACAGCGCGCATTGGATATCCGCTAACAGCTCATAACGCGCCGTTAAAACCCGGCATTTTTCAACGCCGCGGCGTTGATTACCGGGGCAGGTAATGAGCAGCGTCCATTATGACTCCGTGAACGCGCACTGGCTGCACTCTCAGTGGGGCTATAAAGCGCTCCCATCATCTGGTCATAAACGGCCCATGGATAGCGGGTAATAATTTTCTCTCACATTCCGCTCAAATATTATACGGTACTCTCTGTACATTCGTGTATATAACGTGGTTCGGGGAGAAAATGTAGGGTGTGAAGGGCAATCGTGTCAAAATAACCCCGGCATTAGCCGCACGGCAGGCCCAACTGTCACATGTTGATGACAAGGTGTTGATGTGGAGGGGAGCCGTAGGGTTGTTGAGTAGGGCGGCGGAGAAAACGCCGCCGCCAAGAAAGAGTGTAACGTGTAGACAAGGCGAACCAGCGACAACATACAAAAGTCAAGAGTAATCGATAGCCGAATATTGGCACTCTGGTCGTGTTACACTTACACGGGAAACAAAGAACGAGTAAGCTTTTTCAATTAGCTTCCTAATATCCTCTTTATAAATTCTGTAAGATGATACTTTTACGTACTCTGTAGAATAAATAACTGGACCTTTTTTTAGTTTTTACCTTTCAATTTTTTTATTTTTCCTTTTTCGAAAATCATACAGAGTAATTCATATCTTAGTACAGATTTGGAGAAAAAGGGACGGGAAACGAGAAATAACGGGAAATATTACGGCAAATGACGGGCAAATGCCAGGTTGCTTGAAAATCAGGGAAACGCATAGAAAAGCCCGTATTAACCAGTGCAAACCCGCATGCGCGGCGTCCTGCGTAATATCAGTCAAGGTTGACAGATTAAGTTTCTTACAAATTAGTAAAGCACACACGGACACACCGCAGCGAGAGGAAACGGGACCGGCTTTGTCGCACGGGGGCAATCGATGGGCCCACGTCAAAAGTGCAAGATTGATTAATTCCTTACCGGCAACTGCAGTGCGTCTTGGGGCCCGGTGCATATGCATATACCGCGAAAGAAACATTAGTAAAAATCCAATCCCACCCGGTAGAGAATGACGAGCGGCTAATGATTAGAAAATCTACGCCACCGGTAATGTCTTGGCTGCATTTCACTGCCATTACACTGCGGCACGGCGGATGCACGATACATGAAAAACGCGATGGTAGAAAAATAAAAACAATACCCTCCATTTATTCCGCCATCCCCATTACCATGCAATTTCGGGGCGCCCAGCATGGATATGATATTGACAGCGGCGATAATAATCAAAAAAACCCCGGCCAATGCTGTAGCAAGTTGCCACATCCGGATGGAAAAATGCCGGGCCGCACACACACACACACACACAGTGCAGCGGCGCGCTAAGCCGGGCAAATAAAAAATTCATCAGTCTTACTGGCCATTACGCTCACAGTGTATTCCCCGGCGGATTGGCTGGCGCTGTCTGCACAGGCACAACATACAGCTTGACTGTCACATATATTTCTCCACACAGCGATACTGTATACAGGCAGTACGCCAACCGAATCAGACCAATCCCCGATTGTAATGGAAGACCTCTTAATAAATTGCTCACTGACTCCCTTTTCTCTTTACCATATCCCAGCTGTACATCAGGGTTTGAGGGGGCCTGCTGTAGCCTGTATGCGTGGATGACGTAACTGGGTGCTTATACGGGCCGCCTTAATCCCGACTCCGGCACCGATATAATCAAAAAGCGCGGCCCACGCTCGCGCTGAGAGAGTGTGTGTGCCGCGAATGGCAATTTAATTAATCAATAAACTATCTCTTCACACCTTGTTGGCCGCGGTTGCTCAAGGTTGTGCGGGATTAAACCGGAAGTCAATGCGCCATTTATGAAGTGTCTGCTGGATGAATTAACCCGGAGAGAACTATTTGGGCAACTACAGTACATGGTTAATAATTACCAATTTTATAATCAAAATTATGACAAACTATGTAGTTTTTAATATATAGAATGTAGAACTGAAAAATCAGGTACTGCGCAAACACGCGCTTTCCTGTGCTGGCGATTTATGCTTACTGGACGTGCTCCTATTTTTTTATAAAACTGATATTAAATTTTTTTAACCGTAGGTCGACTAGCCGATTTCCAGTTTTTTTGTCGTTACATTAAAGTAAAGAATTACTGGTTTTGATTCAGCTGAAAAACTGGATTTTGCAGTGTCTTCATTACTGTTCGCGCAGCACTAGCAGACATTCGCAATCAGCAACGCATTTCTGCAGCAGAAAATGGCCGGAAATATCGTTCCCAATTGCGGTGTAATGCCCGGCCTAATAAGTTGGTGTTGTTGTCAGTTTTTACAGCCGGAACACGGGCGCGTGTATTGCCTGATGAACCGGCACCGTTCGAGCCGGGTTATCTATACATTGTATAACACAGCCTGCATCCATTTACGCCAAGTGCTGTCTCCAGTGTACGGACACACATTCACACAGATAATATGGAGCAGGCCACTCTTCATCATTTCCATATACCTCCAGGACAATATCACGCAAATTAACACACTGGCGTTTACGCGTCTTTTATGGCCGCGCTGTCTTCCTTACACACACATACAGCTCGTTTGTTGGGTTAAGGCTGTACTCTACAAAGATATCACCCTTTTTTTTTCATGACGACGTTGTGTCAAATCCGGGGGATTCGTGTGTGTGTGTGTGTGCCGGCGACAGAGAAGGACCGAGAGAAAATAACCCGGACAAGCATTGTCGCGGGCGCAGTTTGTGTCGTAAATCACCATAATCCGCTTTTAATCTGACATTGTGTCAGTAGCGAATGTTGACCCGGCGGGCTTTTGTTCCGCTACCCGGGCTAAATCCCCGAAAAAAACAACACTCACAGCCGCTGCGGGAAAACGGGGGCCAAGCGCCCTCTTTGTCCATCGACTTGTCAGCAGCAGTCGCTTTGATTAATGAACGCTTAACATGCGCGCTCGGTGACCTTGGCGCATTCCGCGCCACACCTGCCACGCGGCAGTTAAGTGCGCGGGATAATGGCGCATCAGCACGCTGAGGTAGAAATGACCGCGGCACGATCAGGGTGCCTGGAGAGTGGCGGTTTAATAATCCGCGGAATGGGGACGATTATCAAACTGCACCCGCAATTACCGTTTCACGCGCAGTTGATGAAGATGACCCCGTGTTTATTAATGGAGTTCAGTTGGCGTTTAAACGACGCAAGGGCAATCGCGGTTCCCAAGGTTAATGTTGTCATTGCACCCACGACCGTTGCATGGGGATATACTGACGCATTAACGCACCGGCTAAGTGCGTGGAATTTCCGTTTACTGTTCCTGCTTTTTTAATAAACCAAACGGTTATGGCGACATTTGTTAGAAACGTGACGCAAATTAAACACTATGGGTCGTTTGATTTTTTGATCAACCAAGGTTCCAATATCCCGATACATTAGCCGAGAAACCGTCGAAGAAACCCAGTTATTACAATTTACTTTTATAGAAAATGTCGATTAGCTAGCTGCGTATATAGCAGACGATATTATGTCACATTTGTGTATTTACGGTTGTTCCTGAGTTTCGCTAGCTTAAGATCGAATTAAACGGATTCTCCCTGTATACATCGCCAGCAAGCCGGCGCGATTTGACGCCTCGATCAGCGCACTCGGAGAAACCTGCTAAAAGCTCGCGATGAAAACACAGTCGCCGATGTTCTCCCCGATAACGAAAAACAGCCCGCGTACTGAAACAGAAAATCCCCAAGCAGATTATACGGGGCGAGCGGTGAAGCGTTGCTGCCTGTGCTGCCGATGACAGTCTTCACCCGCAGACGAAGACCCACATCGTTTTTCTCTACAGCGATGCAGCGCACGCGCGCCCCGGCACACTGCCCATTAATGTACAGTGGCAAGTCGCGTTTTTTTATGATCTCTTTCTTCCTAGCTGAGGAGATCAAAGCCGAAATTTGACATTTGACAATTGATTTTTTCCATCTCACTCCACACACATAGAGAGCCAGCATTGGATAGCGCGGTATGTAACTGTAAATCGAGATGGGATTTAGCAGCTATTTCTGCCCCGCTATAATACACCCGCAGCGGCAGGGAAACAGAAAGAGGAAGAGAGAGAGGGAGATGCCCAAGACCAGCGCACACAACGGCAGTCATTCGATCTTTTTATAGTCCGCTTCATGGAGAATTCAATTTCAGGCCAATTTGACCAAACACTTAGTTTCCCCTTGTTAATGGGGGGATCATTTCGCTGGGCTGGTTGGGACGCGTGCTCCCGCAGCCGGGCGAGGGGAAAACACCCGTCCCTATATGCAACAGAGTGGCAGCCGCGACCGGCGTCATAAGCGTTGATGAAGCGGCCACATTAACTCGGCAAATGATCGGATGAACGACATGATGCCCGGGCGTAGGCTTTCCCGGGGAACAACCGTTTTATCCGAAACGATAAATTTTTTCTACGTGGTCCGCTGTGTTAAGTGCGCTGCTCCGCTGATTGCAGCAGGGGTTGCGGGCTGTGTGACTGTCATTACGAAGCCACGAGCAATCATAACGGTCACGAGCATTGTTTTCGGCTAAAATTAATTAGAAACCCACTAATGTGACTGGAGATCCTGATGCAATCTGGTTGCAAAAAGTAGCGTAAGCCAAGGCAACTCTAATCTTTCCGAAAGCATACGAGTACAGAAAAGCTGAGAAAGCAAATTTCTTGGACAACCCAACGTCGCTGGTTCAGTAATCAGTCCAACGTAAACGAAAGTCTCAGTCGACGCAAACTTGTTTTAGACTAAAGAAAATACTTTGAAAAATTCAAAATGACGAATCTGTCAGCAGTACATTTGACGAATTTGATCGTGCGTTGCCGCCTCCATAAAAGCTGGATAATAACGCTTGTACGGCAAGCCATAAGGTCGTAGGAATATACGACGTAACATAAAGTATTATTATTTTTTCCTAGTACCCCGAGACCAGCTGTCTAAAATTTTAACGGTAAACGGTCGTCTACTTTGTTTACAAGATAAAACCATTTTTTCAGTCCTCCTCTGGAAGCCGTGCACTCTTTCAAACCGACTCTCACATGCGTGCGCGTTGTATGTATTTAGAACCATCATGTAGGACCGGAAAAGAATTTTGTACTCGTAATAAAATGTAAGTATGATAATGCCTGCCTGTTGTCGGAGGTCATTAACAAAAGAATGTAGGACTTACATCCATGAAATCCCGCAGTGGAAGTCCGCGTTTAAGGCAGCAGCTGTGCAGTCGTCCAGAATCAGCTGATCGGTCAGACAACACTGCCCGCATATCACCATACATCCAGTCGCGGCAAAAACGGGTCTGATTACCGGCTAATCCATGTGATGCCGATGCCCCCCTTTCGGCGGTTCGAAACCTTTTAATAAAATCAGTTTTTTTTTCTAAATACGCAAAATCTTCTGCGCATAGATCGCCAGCGCTGGATTCGAACAGAAAAGCGGCGGATTGCAAATGGTTTATTCCGAACAATAAGCGTTACAACGAGGCATTTACTTTGCGGTCATTTATTGCAGAATGTCTTGTTAATGAAGTGATAAGATAACGGCAGCTGATATATCGGGGTGGCCTGAGCATCCGCCGTGTAATATCACAGCCACGGATATTGCGTGATACCCCATTCCCCGCATCCAGCGCGATGGGCCGCAGACTATTAAAGTTAGTCGAGTTTAATTTATTGCCACACTTAATAGCTATCTTGGTTTCCTTTAAACTGCAATTGCGCTTCTAGCGCTGGTGTATTAGCAACTGAGAGTGGAAGAATGAAATTTCCGGTCATGCTGCATCAGTCTACGGTGGATATGCAGTGCTCTCCATGCGCATCTTCGTCATATTCTTTCTCCATGGCGCTGTGATCGACGTTACTCGGTGGCGCTGTATTCCTTATACGCTTATGTACACTGACCAAATCGATAAGTCAGAGAAATGTAAATGTTATCAATTGTCTCGACCGCCCCTGTGTGTGGCCCACTCGTGCTGCTCGTTGAAAGCGACTGAGGAAAAAACATGCTGGTTAAATCACAGACCAGAAACCGGCTACGCTCTGAGTGATACCGGACAATGGCCTTTTGCGAAAGATGTAATAATGTAGAACTAAAAACAGTATGTAGATACTTGGCTTTAACGCATACTGCGCAAGCAAGCGCTTCCCTGTTCCAACTTAGCACGCACGATTGTCGGACACTGTTTGCTGATTTTGTGATTAAATTTTTCAACCGACCATTTTGCTCAACAACCGCTTTCCTTAGTACCGACTGAAAAAACGATTTTATCGTGCGATCATAGTGGACATCGGATCGGCTTAGCCACTAAAGTTTTGGTAAGCTGGCCTGTTGGTCTTACCGTCATACGGGAACGGATTATGCTAGAAAAATGTATTATAAACATTTTAGTAG